ACGCACTACAATGACAACAGTTTAAAGCGATTTGAAGCATGTTTTATTTTCAAAATGGAAATATTGTTTTGGGGGGGCGGTGGTCAGAGCTTTTTAACGTCATATTCGAGGGGGGGTCTTATTTTTTGTGACGCCGTGTGACAAGGGGGGGGGGGGGGGGGTAAAAATCGTCCAAAATCGCGTGACGTCATTTATGGACGGCCCCTAAACCCAGCGGACCCGAGTTGGATGCTCGGCCACGGCCAACATCGAGTGGCGGGGCGAAATCAAAACGGAACCTGCCCTCACCCCCTTCACGAGCCCGCACTGACCAAAGTGGGGGAGACTGGCCTGAAAGAAAAACAATCATCCTGTGAGCGACACTGGCGTGGGGGAGGCCTTCAGTCATTGCAGCATTGAGAACGGGTGGCGCTTCGTCGACTTATGAACAACATATACACCACTTTTGCTCTTTCGGTAAGGTCACGTAGAAAGAAAATAATTTTAATAATGCATTAAATAGTACGACGTTTCGACTGCAAAACAAGCAGTCGTCATCAGGTAGAACTAAATTTGAGAGAGACACAAAACACAGACACGGAGACACACAGACAGACACACAAGCACAGAGAGAGACAACACAGAGACACACAGAGAGAGACACACAACATAGACACACAGAGACCCAATGCCTCTGTGTCGTGGCCTTAAATAGAGAGAGGGGGGGGGGGGGGTGCAGAGAGAGAGAGAGGTGTGGGTCTGCTAGAGCAGAGAAATTAGCATGTCAATGAGAGAGCTGTGTGGAAGAAAGACCCAGCAAGTCTGGCATTGAGAAAACAAACTTAGCAATTTTTTGGAAATGTTATGCAATGCAACGCAGAGAGTCGGCTAACACACAGTTAACGTACATATACACCATTGAAGTTGGCCGCCTGTGTTTGCAAATAAATTTAAATTGCAGGATTTTAAGGGCAGCACGCTGGCCAAGCCTGTCCGTTAAGGGAGCCTCGATTGGGTTTGGCTCGCGTTGTTAATCGCGTGCGCTAATCGCGCTGGAACGCCGCAGCACGATGCCAATTCCGCACCACAAAATCACTTTAACGCCGCGCACGTGTGTGAATAATGGTGAGCTGTGTGGGCAGTTGTTTTCATCAGTAATTGAATTAGTTTTTTTTATATGTTAACATACAGTATATACAAATAATACAAATACAAGTGTGTTGCCCTTAAAGGGAAAACAATATAATTGGCGACGTTTCGAGCGATGCCCCTCCTTCATAGTAGACACACGGAGGCCAGAGAGATGGAGTAGATACGAGTTGACGACCTGCTAAGAATTCAATTTAAGAAACGTCGCTTGTGCCTTTGCAGCACTGCCAACGCAGAATCACCAAATGCAGCGCTTTCAAATATGAACATGAAATATTTCCCGGACGCAATGACGCTTCTGTAGCTCCATCTCAATCCAGTGCCGGGTGAGCACCTCCGCACGGCGAGCTGGTCGTTGATGCCACCGGACCATACTTCACCACGCTGGTCAACATGGGTTGGTGAAGGCGTGCGAGCATATGCGAGGGTATCGCAGAAGTACCGTACAAGACATGGAATTTGCCGCACTGCTTTCCGAAGACCACCACGTAATGCCATAACCGTTCTATTATAGCGACCCGGAATGCTTGGTCAGTGGTCCAATTCCAGCACTATCCAGGCTCATCTCGGCTTTGTTTTTGGAGATTTGTCGAGGTTGGGCGCATTTCGGGTGATTTGGTCATAGGCGTCGCGGTGTCGAAATGTTAACTACCTCGCCTGGTGTACAGGAGGGCGTTGGTTCGATGTCGATCCCTGACGCCTGCTGCTGTATATTTGGAGTTTGCGGTGTCTCTCTCCCCGTGGTCGCGTGGATTTTTCTACGGTTCCTCCGCCCCCCCCCCCCACACACATTTATAAATTTGCGTTTAAGAGTAGTTGGCTGCTATATATTTCCACGTGATAAGCCACTTCGTTGAATTATCATTTGTGGTCAGGTCGCTTGTGAAAAAGAGATATACAGCTCAGTGGACCTTATCCGGTAAAATAAAACAAATAGTTGAGTAGAATTGGAAAACAAAATGTTTATGGTTCGGATGCTTTGAACTTCAACATAAAAAAACACGAAGTTGTAGGTGGACGATAGCACATTACGGGAGATGAGGATCAGTTACAGAAACAATTCCTGTTGAGTTCGGCCGATCACAGGCAACAACATCACATTACATGTTTTCACGTTGACGTATTATCTATTCAGTATGTACTAAGTTTTTGCTTCACACTCAGCCCACCAGAGTTCGATTCCAGGCCCCTGTTGGCATACATTGTTGAGTGACATCTGGGACTGGTAAATAATGCCCCCCCCATCCATGGCTTTCACCAACGCGGACTAACCAGCTTGGTGAAGTATGGTCAACCACTCCCCACCCCCCCCCCCCCCATGATTGACACGGCGTCGGGAGGCCAGGCCTTCATTCAACAATAGATTGACAGAGGACTGTGAATAATGATCATTGCAAATATTATTCTAGTCCCTGTAGGTTTCAGAAGGAAATGAATGCATGGAAAATCTCTGGACCCTGAAGTTTCCATTCACAGTAAAAGAAAAAATAAATAACCCCCCCCCCCCCCAAATAAGATGGGCAAACACCCGAAGCAACGAACGACGCTTGTGTGGAACATACTTTTGAGTGAGACACGGAGACCCCGCGATTGAACCGGGGATCTGGCGTGCAAGGGAGCTGATGGTCTCAGTCCGGGTATAATCAATAACTGAAAAATACTGCTAAACAAAAATCCACCCATATAATAACATGACATGTGTGTTTTCTGGACCTTAACTCCTCCTCTCTCGCTTTGCCTGGGACCAAGTGACCTGAAACATGCCCGATCTCGGATTGAGATCTCAGATTGAGATCTTGGATTGAACTGCGCTCTGCTTGGATGGGCGACCACCATGCATACCAGGTGTTATAGGCTATAGACTGCAGAGCTGCGTAGTGAACAGCAATGGGCCGTTTAGTAAATTCTATTGTTGTACTGTACTGCACTTCCACACTTCCACGTCCAATGCTCTCTGTCTTCACCAACTAAGTATGGTGAAGTATGGTCAAATAACCCCTACGACCCGCACACAGTGTGTGTGTGTGGGGGGGGGGGGGGCGTATCCCATTATTGGATTAATTTAACGGGATATGCATGATGCCCCTCGCAGCACACCATGTGACCTGTAACGATCTCTTCCCCACACATGTCTTAACACAGCACGGCTAAGAAATCGCTTGAATTTCAGGATTAAGAGACCTCGGAATTGGTTCAGTCATATCACCTTCCGCGGGCCGTTCTCTAGCACGACCACCCCCCACCCCCCGATGGTAACAGGGACGGCGGGCTACACGTGTGCACAAATCAAGGGGGGGGGGGAGATGATGAAAAATCACGCTAACCTCACGGATGAAACGCGACACTTCCCATTCGTTCTGCACTCGTCTTTTGGAAGTGTCTAATTCGCACCGCTGTGAAGGCCGCCGGCTGGCGGTCGGGGCAAGACCGCAAGTCGTCCTACGCGCTCTCGGGTCTTTTTTGGGGGATCTCCTGAATATTTTGCTCAACACCTTTTGATCCATTTCGCCGGGGGTTTCAGCACCCCCCCCCCCGCCACCCCTTTTCTCACAGTGGATCGACTCCAAAGATCAATAAAAGCGTGAGGCTGGAGCAGAGGTCGCAAACGGGTTTTGATTCCTTACCCGTACCCGGCCACACCAGGGTCGCAATCGGGTACCCGTACCATACCCGGCTAACCATACCCGGCCGGGTATCGGGTAGGGTACGGGCACGAATACCCGATTGCGACCTCTGGGATGAAGCCATGTTGCAGGCGCGGGTGGGTTGATTCTAGGATCTTGAATTGTGAGAAGAGACAAGACGTTGGGAAATGAGTGACAAACGGTTACTCACCAGTGACTTACGGCCTATCCGTACCTGTACCCGGCTGCACCAGGGTCGCTAACGGGTACCGGGTAGGTACGGGTAGCCGGATATCGGGTAGGGTACGGGTATCGGGTACCCGGTTGCGACCTCTGGGCTGGAGTGGCTGACGGACGGCGCTAACGCGTGAACGGAGAACGCTGTCTCGCAGGGGTCCGCACACGTGTGGAGGTGAGATGGAATTTGCTTCTCGCTTCTGATAGAAGGGTGGTGGTGGGGTGGGTTTCTGTGGAAGGCTGAGACGAGTTAAAAGTAATTCTGACTGAAAACTTTCGTGACTGCAGGAATTCATAGTCTTTGGTTCTTTCGGTAAAGTCACGTAGATAAAAAAATAAAGTGAATAAAAATAAAAAATAATAAAAATAAAATAAAAACCACGATGTTTCGATCGCAACACAAGCGTTCGTCATGACGACGACTGTTTGCGTTGCGATCGAAACGTCGTGGGTTTTATTTTATTTTTTATAATTTTTTATTTGTATTCACTTTGTAATTATTATTTTTCTTATATCTACGTGACTTTCCCGAAAGAACCAAAGAATATGAGTTCAAGTAATATTATCCGTAAAGTAATATTGGGTTTGGGGTGTGGGGGGGGGGAACAAACCCCTCCCTCCGCCCCCCACCTTTCATGACCCATCTAGCAGTGGAGATGCCCCCATCACACTCGAGGGCAACGATCCGCATATGCAGAAGAGAGAGAGAGAGAGAAAAAAACCCCGATTCAATAAACAAGTGAAGCAAACCCGCTGCCAGACTTTGTGCCAACATTTGAAACATTCGAAGCCTCTTCTTCTTTGGCTTCGTCTCCATTTCATTATTTATTTCATTATTTATTGCTATCCAATGCCTGGGGGGGGAAATTCGAAATAAAAAGTGTACTTCATCGTCCGTCGCCAGAGCAGCTCTTTAAATATGGAGAGGGGGAGGGTGGGGGATGGGGGGGGGGAGACTCTAAGAAGCGATGCAGATCATCAACCTCATCCGCACCAGCAGGAGCACAGACCACATCTGCTCAAGTTACGCACTCACACAAGACACACAAACACACACAGCTCACGTGGACGCACGTACACACACACACGCATCGCATACTGAAGCTCATGACATTTGACCGGAACCACGCTTGAACCGAGCAAGCAGTGATGGGTATCCCCCGCCACCACCAACACCACCACGACCCGCTGCACTTTGCGGTGTTTCTCATCGTGACGATCGTCGCCACTGTGCCGGCCCCTTGCTGCTGCCAAACAGAGGGACGAGCCGCCGCCACCGCCGCCACGCCGTCCGCGAACTCGCCCGACGCGGAACGACGCTGCGTCTACTCGTTCGCGGTGGCCAGCGCCCCGAACGTGCGCTGCGTCGCGGCTCCCGACTCGACGGAGCTCGCGGGCATCCTCAGGCGCCTCTCCCGCTTGGAGGCGGCGGTGATCGGCCGTGTCCGTCCCGACGACCACGATGGGAGCCACGGGGAGAGGGACGGGGAGAGAGACAGGGAGAGGGAGGACGGTGAGAGAGACAGGGAGAGAGACAGGGAGGACAGGGAGAGAGACAGGCATAGGGACGCCAGGGGAGAACGGCGAGAGTTCCAGAGGGAAAGTTTGCAGAACGACAGGGACAGGATGCAGAGGGACAGGGATGTGATGCAGAGCCAGATGGAACGAATTCAGAGGGACAGTGAGAGCTTGCAGAAGGACAGGGACCGGCTGCATGCGGACAAGCTGCAGCTGGCGAGGGAGAACGCCGAGCTGGAGAAGAGGGTGGTGGTGCTGACTGCAGAAGCGGCGCTGCTGAGAGCCAAGCCCGATCTCAGACGCGGCCCTGACACCCACGTGACTCCAGGTGAGGGGCTCCACGCTCCCTCGCGGCTCCTCCACCCTCACGCGCCTCCAGGTGAGGGACTCCACGCTCCCTCGCTATGAACCTGGCTGACCCGGGTTCGATTCCCGCTCACGGCCAACACCGGTGACGATTATCTGAACCGGTCCTGGGCCTCCCCTAGGTCGACTCAGCCTGAAATTAGTACCTGGTGCGGTGTGGAAACATCGCCGCTGGGGAGACAAAGGCGATCGGGCGTGGTGCTGGCCACCCACCCCCTCGTGTACCGTTCCGGCCTTCATAGGTGCTCGCTAACAGCACTTGCCCCGACAGTCTGTTAAGGCTATACGGGGGATCTTTGTCTTTGCCTTTTGTGTGTGAGTGTTCTGCATTCGACTTGTAGACCTCGATCTCGGGATGGCGCTGCGCCACCAATCAACCTCCGAGGCCTCGTTCATGTTTTCGGATTGTTGATATTTGTGCCAAATGTCAGATCACTTGGCTCTTCCAAAGCATTATTAGAATGTATGAGTACAGCACTTTATAGCCCTTCTAGAACTGAATTTGAATTTGCAGCGCGAGTATGATGTACTCGAATTGTAAATGTTGTGGGGTTTACTCTCCAACACACCGGTGGGCTGAACTAGTAACGAATTGCCACGTTTTGTTTACGTAACATCCCTTGCTAATTGGCTGCGTCGAGTGGTGGCGGGTTTAATGACACATTCATATGTACGCGATCTAATCCAAGAAAAAAGAAAGTCATTATGGATAATACGCGACTCACTTTAAAAAAAAAAGCAAATTGACTTGGGATAGAGAACATCGCTTGACGTGATGATGGCAGGTGGAAGAGATCGATTGTGGAATTTCAGCCAAAGTCAGAAAGTTACAGCAACAAACAGTGCAAAAAAAAACCCGATATGAGTGCAGAGGATAGGAAAGGTAAGTAAATCACTAAAAATAAATAAACAAAAATTAAACATTTTTGTTTTTGTTTTGCAGGTAAAGCCCATCGACCTATTAGTTGTTTTCCAGAAGCGACCTGGTCATCAATACTAGCTAAACGACGTGGATAATTATCACGTGGGAGTGTATCGCAGCAAAATCATCTAAACGCGTGATTGAACACGGAGACTTTCGCGACCAAACAATACGATTCATGACCGAGTTTTGGGATCGGATCGCCGTGTGGATAAAACGTTGCGTCGTACAACCCTCCTCCACCCGGCACAGACAGTTCATAAAGTTGCCACATGGTGAACGAACGTGTCAATGTCTCATCGTCCTGCTTCAGCACCACCGGTGTGCTGGAGAGCAATGTAAACAATCGTTAAATGTTGTGACCGATGGCTGATGATGATTATTTTCTACTAGCCTAAAGCCCGTCCAAGGACGAGTCTATTGCAGTAAATCTGAAACTTGCAAGCGGAAAGCAGACGGCGAAGTGATATTCATTGCATCCATTCGTGTGCAATTTGTAAGGCCGCGGTGACACAGACCTATTTCATTTTAAGGTTATAATCCCTTGTTCATCATGACGTCCTTTTTACTTTGATGTCTCAACAGCGCTACGGAGATCACGTGACGTGAGGGTTCTGCCTTTGTAGTGAGGGCTGTAAGTTGACGCCGAGGAGGGGGGAGGAGGCCCCCCCCCCCCCATGTGGAGTGACGTCACCTGCTCATGATTATTAATGAGGGGGGCTGCTCAACGTGGAGTGACGTCACGCGCGGGACACACACACATTCTTGGCTCATTATATTAGTAATATATACTTGAAACTTCTCGTGAAAGAAGAGACTCCAAGTCTCAGCGCATTTTCACCTGGTCAACAGATGTCACAACTGGTCCATTGTGACGTCTCTCCGTACGTACGGTGAGTTGGAGAGTCACGGTAATTTGGGGCGCCACGGTGGCTATGAGACGTCATATTTGTTACTGGTAAATGAGGTTCCAATGGTGTAAATGCTTACCCCGAGCTCTCATACTCTGATGGTGCATTGTCTTTGAGTTGTGCGCCTTTTGGCGTCATCTGGTCCAACCCATGTGAGACTTGGCTCTAAGGACAGCTGTCTCGGGTGTGGACCAATCAACTTCAAGGACAGTGCATACATTATCAGAGTTATGTGTTTTGTTTGAATTATGACTGCAGATATTGTGGTCTATGCAAACATGACTCCTTGTAAAAAAAAAAGTGTCAGTTTTGTTTCCAGATAGAAGGGTAAAAAAGACAATTATCATATTTTTTACTGGCAAATGAGGTTCCAATGGTATGAGACGTTAACTACATCGCCTGGTCTGCAGGAGATCGTGGCCTCGATCCTGACCCTGACGCCTGCTGTATACTTGGAGTTTGCGTGTCTCTCAGCCCCGTGGTCGCGTGGATTTTTGCCCGGGTCCTCCGGGTTCTCTCTCCACATTTCGAATCAACATCACGCGTTTAGAGTATTTGGCTGCCATAAATGTCCACGTGATAAGCCACTTCGTTGAGTTTTCATTTTTGGCCAGATCGCTTCTGAAAAATAACTATACAGCTCAGTGGGGCTTACCTGGTAAAAAAAAATAAGTTTTTAGTTTAATTTTAATCTAATTAACTTCGGCTGCTCGCGTCATCATCGACTTTGTGCAGCTTTTGGCCACGCGTCCTCTTATGCCTCGGAAATAATAATGATAATAAAATAATAATAATAATGATAATAAAATAATAATGATAATAAAAAACAATTATAAGGCACACGTGTGTGCTTTACTGCTGCTGCTGCTGCTAAAGATAATGATTCTGCTGCTGTTGATGATTCTGCTGATGAAAGATACTGCTACTTCTGCTGATACCATTGCCATTAACCGCCAGGGATGATGATGCTGATGATGATGATGCTGATGATGATGGCGCCGCGGTTTATGCGTCTGTCGCCGCTGCCCTTGAGGCTGCTGATGATGCTGATGATGTCGATGATGCTGATGATGTTGATGATGTCAATGATGTTGATGATGTCAATGATGTTGATGATGTTGATGATGTCAATGATGTTGATGATGCTGATGATGTTGATGATATTGATGATGATGCTGATGATGTTGATGCTGATGATGCTGATGATGTCAATGATGTTGATGTTGATGATGTCGATGATGCTGATGATGTTGATGATGTCAATGATGTTGATGATGTCAATGATGTTGATGATGCTGATGATGTTGATGATGCTGATGATGCTGATGATATTGATGATGTTGATGATGCTGATGATGTTGATGATGCTGATGATGTTGATGATGCTGATGATGTCAATGATGTTGATGATGCTGATGATGTTGATGATGCTGATGATGTTGATGATGCTGATGATGATTGCTGATGTGTCAATGATGCTTGATGATGCTGTGAATGTTGATGATTGTCAATGATGTTGATGATGTTGATGATGTCAATGCTGTTGATGATGCTGATGATGTCAATGATTGCTTGATTGATGCTGATGTATTGTGAGTGGATGCTGATGATGTTGATGATGCTGATGATGGCTGATGCTGTCAATGATGCTTGTGCGATGATTGATGTTGATTATGCTGATGCTGTTGATGATGTGATGATGATTGATGAGATGATTGATGTCATGCTGATGATGCTGGCTGATGTTGATGATTGCTGATGATGCTGAGCTGATGTCATTGATGATGTTGCTGATGCTGATGATGTTGATGATGCTGATAATGCTGCTGATGTTCATGATGCTTGATGATGTTTGATGATGTTGCTGTATGCTTGATGATGTTGATGATGTCGATGATGCTGATTGATGCTGTCAATGGGGGGGGAAGCTGATGATGTCAATGATGCCAACACCGACTGCAACTGTTGCTGTCGTTGCTCAGATTGATTTCGCTGCCTCTGCTGCTGTTGATGACGATGACAATGCTACTTTTACTGCTGCTCATGCTGCTGCTGCTGCTGCAAAAACACTTGGCAGGATCCTTCTGAAAAAAAAAGAATCAGGAGACTGAGTGAGGCTTTCTTGGGTAAACAAGCGAGGTAATATCGATGATGGAGTCAGGGCCGCCAAATGGAGGAGCGGGTCCCGGGGCAAAATCCACTGTGTGTGCTTGCCGACGCCTTCAAACTAAAGCGGACAGTATTACCTCCGACACGTGACATCCCACCTCCCCCTCCCCAAAAGCGCGGGGCCCCGGGCGATCGCCCCGATTCGCTGTACCCTCGGGACGCCTCTGGATGCAGACGCAATTGAATCGCTCGGAAGGCTAAACAATCCTAACACCCCGATCATCCCATCTCTGCCCACCCGTGTAGTGCTGCAGAGGATGGGTTACGAGGAGGCGCGCGCGGGCCACTTGAAGGTGCAGCCGTTTGCAGCCCATGCCACTGGAGCCAGCGAGCCCTGGGTCTGGGCTGTGGAGCCCACGGCGGTGCCCGATTTCATTCAGCAGGGCGCCCAGGACCGGCAGAGCGGCCAGATGGAGAACTCGGGTTAGCGACGCTCGTTTACATTTGCAAAAAAACGTAGTAACACTGAGTGTATGCCCTCCAGTCGTCTGGGTGATAAGTGGGCTAAATGTGGCCCAATTCCTGGCCGGGTGGCTCAAAAAACGTATAGTATGAAATGAAATCAACCTAAGCCCATATTGTATCAGTCACTCCCTACTGCGAACCTCTTCCTGAGTTAAAACACGTTTATTAAAACTAACTTCACGACTACCAAAGTTTGTATTTACGTAACATATTAATCGATCATTCGGATAACGCGAGAATGGTTGAAAAACCTCACCTCTGTTACCACGTGTGCCGCTGGGCTATGGGTGAGGCTTAGTGACGTCATAGGCATACTCGGGCGTGGCTTTTAGGGGGTTTCCCGCCTTCGGAAGGCACAGTCTTGGGGCCGCTCCAATATTTTCAAGGGGCCAAAATAAAGAAGCAGACAAAACTCCTCTTTCGCATATCTCTTGTCCATCCGCATAAAAAGGCGTAGTTTTCACACATCCCATCAGACACAAAAGCCTCTCTGGCAATGTCTAATTTCAGCAGCTGCACAATTATTTTTGAGTGTGATATTACACGCGGCTGGAGTACAATCGACGGACGGCAGCGAGTGTACTCGATCACAGTGAGTAATTGGGTTGATCTTCTGAACAATTGCAGCTCGAATTATAAGGCGAGAAGCAGTCAATAATAATGATTGCACCCAGAGTGCAACACGGTTTTTTTCCCAACCTTCATTCCCCGTGACCCACCACCAAGTGATGATCTACCTCCGTTCAAATCCTAAAGCTTTCGTGACTGCAGGCATTCATATTCTTTGGGTCTTTCAGTGAAGTCACGTAGATAGAAAAAATAATAACAATAAAATGAAAAGTGAATAAAAAATAATAATAATATCACGACTTTTCGATCGCAACACTGGCAATCGTCATCAGGAGAAAAAATACGATTGCTTGTGTTGCAATCGAAACGTCGTGATATTTGTATTATTTTTATTAACTTTCTTTTTTAATTATTTTGTTTTTTTCAATCTACGTGACTTTTCTGAAAGACCCAAAGAATATACATCCGTTCAACATTGCAAACTCCAAATTGAGTCATTATGCGCTGCACGCGAACGATGATGACTGATCGAAGCATTAGCCCCAAACAGGGCTGCCACCTTCTCGACTGGAGGACCACTTGATATATTGGTTGCCAAGCCCTGGCCTCGGTCTATCACAACCCTGCGGCCCATTGTTGCAGGGTGGTCCAGATGTTAAGTGACCGCCCCCCCCCCCCAATTAAAACTTTATATTTTCAAGTGAGGTTTATTCAAAGCAGAAATAAATCGTCAGAAAACAAAACAAAAATCTCAGGGGGTCACAAGACATCTGGATCACCCTGGACACGACACTGCGACATCAATGCCAATTGCGTTGAACGTTATTCAATCTGTGACTTGTGTGCGTGTGTGTGCGCGCCACCGCCAACACACTCCCTTAACTCTGGATTGTTTAACGGCGATGCGATGCTCCTTCCAATTTGGATGAGCAGCCCGTCGGTTGCTCGTCTGATTGCTCGTTCCAGCACTGCTCTTCCACGGCGCACTCTCTCCATCACTCTCATCGCTCGACGCGCCTCGTCGTGAGCTGATATAATAACACACGCGCGAGAGGCCGAATTCGTCGCAGGTGCAGCTGTGCTCGTGCATTCACGCGGCGATATCGTGATCGCGTGGCTACCCCGCCTCGAATGGTGAATACAAGGTGGGGAGAGAGGGGGTTGTTGGCAGGAAATAACGTTATATAAAGTAACGTAGAAGGGAAATAATAAAATAATAAAAATAAAACACACTATTTTTATTATTTTATTAGAAGGGAAATAATAAAATAATAAAAATATAACATGATATTTTTATTATTGTATTACTTCCATTCTACGTGACTTTACCGAAAGAACCAAGAATATGAATCCCTGCAGTCACGAAAGCTTTAAAAATACATTTAACTTTGTATAGTTTGCGTATATTTAAAATAAAAAAAATCAACTCTGATACTAGCCATGTGATTATCGAACGCAGGTGATAGAGTTCATGCCGGTCAACCCCTCATCAGTGCCTACCTTATTACAGACCAATTCAGACCTTAGTGGTCACCCCGTGCCCTTATAAATCTCAACGTCCACCCTACAAAGTCCCATCACAAGGGAGAAACATGAACATAGAGACAACACATTGACGTTTGCCCGCATTGAAACGGCTGTATGCCGTATGGACCTGCAAACGCAATTTCCCTGGACAAGAATACGGAGTAAACCGTACGGGTTCATGGGCGTGAGAGTTGTTTGAGGGGCGCGCTAAACCACTCCGCCAAATAAATGAATCGGTAAATGCACCGCACCAAACCTACCGTCGTCGGCACGGTTAGCGCGCGGTGGAGTCGCATGGAATGGAACAAAATCCACACGACCACTGGGAGAGGGAGACATGTAAACTCCAAATATACAGCAGCAGGCGTCAGGGTCGGAATCAATCCCACGGCCTCCTGCATACCTGGCGATGTAGTTAACATCTCCTAGCCACCGTGATGATAGAGAGACACGCAAACTCCAAATATACAGCAAGCGTCAGGGTAGGGGTCAAATCCACGACCTCCTGCATACCTGGCGAGGTAGTTAACATCTTCTAGTCACCGTGATGATGATAGAGAGACACGCAAACTCCATATATAAAGCAAGCGTCAGGGTCGGGGTCAAACCCACGGCCTACTGCATACCTGGCGAGGTAGTCAACATCTCCTAGCCACTGTGATGATAGAGAGACACGCAAACTCCATATATAAAGCAAGCGTCAGGGTCGGGAACAAACCCAAGGGCTCCTGCATATCTGGCGAGGTAGTTAACATCTCCTAGTCACCGTGATGATGAGAGAGACACCACAAATTCCATATACAGCAGGCGTCAGGGTCGGGGTCAAACCCACGGCCTCCTGCATACCTAGCGAGGTAGTTAACATCTCCTAGCCACCGTGAAGGGCATCCTCAACCCCGTGGGCAGCGGGGTCCTTCACGAAGCAGTGGATTGATTGACCTTGTCTGTCTGCCGATGCCCCACGCTGAGCGGCAGGGTGCGGCGTGGTGGTCGGGGTGAGCGAGCCGGAGACGCGGCGCACCGCGGAGGGCCTCGACGGCAAGTACGGGGTGTGGATGCGCGACCCGAGGCCCGTGGAGCCGTTCAGGCCGGGGCTCGTGTGGGCCCTCTTCACGGTGGGCTCCAACGTGCGTCAGCTGTTCGAGTACGAGGACGACGAGGGCTTCCGCAAAGGTGAGTCCCCCGGCAGGGGTCAAACAAGGGTAGGTCGAAGAGAGTGATTTCTCGGGAACCGTGGGGTGAAAACACTTTGTGGGAAGCGTCGTGGACATTCCACGTTACTTCTTTGGGAGGGGGGGGGGGTCTCTCCATAGGGAAACCACCGTTGACTTCCGCGACAAAGTTGTACCTATTGTATCGACCCTGGAGGGATGATGGGCTGAGTCACCCCCCACACACACACAACGCGGTCTGAATTCGCAACATTCCGAGTGAGGAGCCGCTACCTCTACCGCTGAGCCAAGCCATCAGGCGCGTGGGGTGGCACTGTGAATTTAATGTCGCATGCGTTTTCGTCGCATTCGCCGATGTGTGAATTGCAACACTCGAAAGGCTTTAAAAAAAAACCTGTTGCGCACCAGGTAAGCGGAATAGAGTCAAGGATCTTACTACTGGTAATGTACAAGCAAATTCAAATGAAAGGGAACCTTTTTCTGAAAGGATGCCCAGACGGGAGTCCCCAAGATGGACATAGGAGACGCGGCTCTAGATGAGCAGCAGCAGCAGGGAAGATCGCCGGGCAGCAAGGGCAGCAGGGAGAGAAGGAATGACCTGATAGAGGCAGTAAAGACACACACGGGGGTGGGGTGGCCAGCACCACGCACCACCGCCTTTGTCTCCCCAGTGCTGATGTTTACACAGCGCACTCAGCACTCATTTCAGTCCGTGTCGAACTAGGGGAGGCCCTGTATCGTTCTTAAAATGTTCGCCGCTGCTGTTGTTGCCGTTGTTGGTCACGTGAGCGGGTGGCCGGGTTGGTAGTGCGGTGCGCTCGCCGCTATACCACCGTTGCCCCGTGTCGAGGATGAGCGCACGTGTTTCACTCTCTCGAGGGTTCAGGGTGATTGATGAGTGCATTCACAGCAGTCGCCAGCTGTACGCATGCACAGGTTGCCCTTGGTGCCGGTAGAATGAAGCTTGCTGGGTGGCCACGGCCGTCTTTGTTTCACCACCCCTTTTGTGGATAATTGCCGGCTAACAAAACTTAACGCGGCCCGTAAACAATTGTGTTAACCCGGCCTGAATTTGGCCACATCTGTTGTTGTTGTTGTTGGGCATTTCATGGTTGCTGAGTACGACTCGGTCCAAAGGCGTAAAAACGCCAAGCGGCCAGCAACGGGCAGCACGATTGAGGGTGTAAGAGACGAGCGGATGCAGCTCTTGGAATGAATGAAAGAGGTGGTTGTTGTTGTTGTTGCTTTATTAACTTGGGGGAAAAGTAGACGCTGGGAGGGAATTCCAAAGTGAGGGCAGAAGCAGCAAATAAGAGTTAGTGTGACCTGCAGTGTGGTGAGTGAGTGAGTTGGTGTGACCTGCAGTGTGGTGAGTGAGTGAGTTGGTGTGACCTGCAGTGTGGTGAGTGAGTTGGTGTGTCCTGCAGTGTGGTGAGTGAGTGAGTTGGTGTGACCTGCAGAGTAGTGAGTGAGTGAGTTGGTGTGACCTGCAGTGTGGTGAGTGAGTTGGTGTGACCTGCAGTGTGGTGAGTGAGTGAGTGAGTTGGTGTGACCTGCAGTGTGGTGAGTGAGTGAGTTGGTGTAACCTGCAGTGTGGTGAGTGAGTGAGTTGGTGTAACCTGCAGTGTGGTGAGTGAGTGAGTTGATGTGACCTGTAGAGTGGTGAGTGAGTTGGTGTGACCTGCAGTGTGGTGAGTGAGTGAGTTGGTGTGACCTGCAGTGTGGTGAGTGAGTGAGTTGGTGTGACCTGCAGTGTGGTGAGTGAGTTGGTGTGACCTGCAGAGTAGTGAGTGAGTGAGTTGGTGTGACCTGCAGTGTGAGTGAGTGAGTGAGTTGGTGTGACCTGCAGAGTAGTGAGTGAGTGAGTTGGTGTGACCTGCAGTGTGGTGAGTGAGTGAGTGAGTTGGTGTGACCTGCAGTGTAGTGAGTGAGTGAGTTGGTGTGACGTGCAGTGTGGCGAGTGAGTTGGTGTGACCTGCAGTGTGGTGAGTGAGTGAGTGAGTTGGTGTGACCTACAGTGTGGTGAGTGAGTGAGTGAGTTGGTGTGACCTGCAGTGTGGTGAGTGAGTGAGTTGGTGTGACCTGCAGTGTGGTGAGTGAGTTGGTGTGACCTGCAGTGTGGTGAATGAGTGAGTGAGTTGGTGTGACCTGCAGTGTGGTGAGTGAGTTGGTGTGACCTGCAGTGTAGTGAGTGAGTGAGTTGGTGTGACCTGCAGTGTGGTAAGTGAGTGAGTTGGTGTGACCTGCAGTGTGGTGAGTGAGTTGGTGTGACCTGCAGTGTGGTGAGTGAGTGAGTTGGTGTGACCTGCAGTGTGGTGAGTGAGTGAGTGAGTTGTGTGACCTGCATTGTGGTGAGTGAGTGAGTTGGTGTGACCTGCAGTGTGGTGAGTGAGTGAGTGAGTTGTGTGACCTACAGTGTGGTGAGTGAGTGAGTTGGTGTGACCTGCAGTGTGGTGAGTGAGTGAGTTGGTGTGACCTACAGTGTGGTGAGTGAGTTGGTGTGACCTGCAGTGTGGTGAGTGAGTGAGTTGGTGTGACCTGCAGTGTGGTGAGTGAGTTGGTGTGACCTGCAGTGTGGTGAGTGAGTGAGTTGGTGTGACCTGCAGTGTGGTGAGTGAGTGAGTTGGTGTGACCTGTAGTGTGGTGAGTGAGTGAGTTGGTGTGACCTGCAGTGTGGTGAGTGAGTGAGTTGGTGTGACCTACAGTGTGGTGAGTGAGTGAGTTGGTGTGACCTGCAGTGTGGTGAGTGAGTGAGTTGGTGTGACCTGCAGTGTGGTGAGTGAGTGAGTTGGTGTGACTTGCAGTGTGGTGAGTGAGTGAGTTGGTGTGACCTGCAGTGTGGTGAATGAGTGAGTTGGTGTGACCTGCAGTGTGGTGAGTGAGTGAGTTGGTGTGACCTGCAGTGTGGTGAGTGAGTGAGTTGGTGTGACCTGCAGTGTGGTGAGTGAGTGAGTTGGTGTGACCTGCAGTGTGGTGAGTGAGTTGGTGTGACCTGCAGTGTGGTGAGTGAGTGAGTTGGTGTGACCTGTAGTGTGGTGAGTGAGTGAGTTGGTGTGACCTGCAGTGTGGTGAGTGAGTGAGTGAGTTGGTGTGACCTACAGTGTGGTGAGTGAGTGAGTGAGTTGGTGTGACCTGCAGTGTGGTGAGTGAGTGAGTTGGTGTGACCTGCAGTGTGGTTAGTGAGTGAGTTGGTGTGACCTGCAGTGTGGTTAGTGAGTGAGTTGGTGTGACCTGCAGTGTGGTGAGTGAGTTGGTGTGGCCTGCAGTGTGGTGAGTGAGTGAGTTGTTGTGACCTGCAGTGTGGCGAGTGAGTGAGTTGGTGTGACCTGCAGTGTGGTGAGTGAGTGAGTTGGTGTGACCTGCAGTGTGGCGAGTGAGTGAGTTGGTGTGACCTGCAGTGTGGCGAGTGAGTGAGTTGGTGTGAACTGCAGTGTGGTGAGTGAGTGAGTTGGTGTGACCTGCAGTGTGGTGAGTGAGTGAGTTGGTGTGACCTGCAGTGTGGTGAGTGAGTGAGTTGGTGTGACCTGCAGTGTGGCGAGTGAGTGAGTTGGTGTGAACTGCAGTGTGGTGAGGGAGTGAGTTGGTGTGACCTGCAGTGTGGTGAGTGAGTTGGTGTGACCTGCAGTGTGATGAGTGAGTGAGTTGGTGTGACCTGCAGTGTGGTGAGTGAGTGAGTTGGTGTGACCTGCAGTGTGGTGAGTGAGTTGTTGTGACCTGCAGTGTGGTGGTTAAACGCCGTGTGGACGACACGACACAGTTGTGATTTAAGTAATGCGCTAACCGGGCGTTTACTTTCTGCCCAGGTGTGTCTTGGTCGAGTGTTCGACCCTTGAACAGAATCATTTTCACCCGGCTTACCCAGAGCCCTTTAAACCCGCAGGCTCATAAGGCCTTGGGGCTCCTCATCTTCTGTAGGCCCTCCGTTCCGTGTTGAAGTAACAGCCGAGAGAGGGCGGTAGAACGTCATTGGTTTTTTTTTGTCTTTTGTATGACGATGAAATCACTCGTGACTTACCCACAGTAAGCTAAATCTACGAAAACAAACTGTTTTGTTTGTTTGAAGAAATGAGTGTAGTGAGTGATATTTAGATTTTCAATATTTGGAAATGTCCCACTTGCCATTCACAGGGTTATTTTTGCCTCCGATTTCTTTTTACTCCATTGCTGAAACGTCATAGCATTCACTTCGCTTTCATCACTTTGGTGACCCAGTGCAGTAACTATTACAAATGAGGTTACTGTATATCCCCCGGTCTCTTGGGTTCCCAACCTGGTTAAACAAAACTAATTTGAGCTTGTCCCAGAAGACTAAACTAAAGCTGAACTTAAAAAAAACAATTGTACCAGGTAATGCCCACTGACCTATACAGCTCTTTTTCAGAAGCGACCTGCCCACAAATGATATCTCAAAGAAGTGGCCTTATCACGTGGCCAATGTATAACAGCCAAATACTCTAAGCGCATGTTTCTAAACAGTGGAGGGAAAACCCGGAGGAAGAAATCAACGCGACCACGGGAAGACACGCAAACTCTAAAATACAGCAGGCGTCACGGTCGGGCTCGAACCAACGACCTTCCTGTATACCAGGCGAGGGAGTTAACATCTCGCATCCTCCTCCTCCCACTCCCGTGCAGGTTACCCGCGCAAGGTGTACGCTCTGCCATACGCCGTAGCGAGCACGGGCGCCGTGGTGCTATCCAACTGCCTCTACTACCAGCGGAGGAACTCGCGCCGCCTGCTGCGCTACGACATGACCGCCGAGACGGTGCTGGCCGAACGCGACCTGGAAGGCGCCGGCTACCACGGCCACTACCCCTACTCGTGGGGCGGCTACACGGACATTGACCTCGCCGTGGACGAGGAGGGCCTCTGGGCTATCTACAGCACGGCGGCGGACCGCGGCGAGATCGTGCTGGCGAGCCTCGACCCGCAGTCGCTCAAGGTGACGAGGCGCTTCGAGGTGCGCGGCGTACGCAAGAGCTTCCGTGGCCAACGCGTTCGTGGCGTGCGGCCGCCTCTACACGCTGAGCAGCTACGCGCAGCGGCGCTCGGCGCTCAACCACGTGTTCGACACGCGCACGCAGGTCGCTCGCCTCCATCGCCGTGCCGTTCACCAACCGCTACCAGTACCTGGCCATGCTGGCGTACAACCCGAGCGAGCGCCGCCTCTACGCCTGGGACAACTACAACATGGTCACGTACAACGTGACGTTCGCCTGACGTTCGCCCGTTGTCGTCGTGTTTTTTGCGGGCGCGTGCTAGGGTTGCCCGCGATATGTATAGATGCAAAATAAAAAAATAAAAAATAATGCCATGATGTACGACACACGTTCCAAAGGCCGTCCTCGTTGTCGTGGAAGAGTAGGCCAAATACCACTCTGGCGAGGGAAGAGGTCTCGAGTTGCCTCGAGTGGAGGCGCTACTGCTGGCAAGCAACTGGCAGCGCTGCGCCTGTGACGATGCCCTAATCAATGTTGACGACGCGATGATTATTATCGCGATATCATCAGTGGGTCTTCTGTTGCTCGGTGTCACCAGCAGCAGAAGAGCCGTGACGCTCATAGCGGACGCACAACGTTTTTGATTCGTTCGGTCGCGACGTAGATCGATAATTGAATTAACGACGACGGTTATGACGTCATGTAATTGCCATTCCGTTAAGGATCGCGAAGAAACAAAAAGTAATTTTGCAAAGCACCAAATTAATAGCTCAATATTAATTCACAACATGAATTACTGCGTTCGACGGTTCAGAGATAGTCGCGCAAAAGAAATCAAATCATCACGATAATCACGATTTAGCCAACGTCATCCTTCAAAACGGACCGGCACGATTTTCGCGGACCTTGCATCGTACGGACACGTCGTAGAATCGCCATATCGCAGACTACCCTGGCCGACCCGCACGTAGACGTGGCTCTTTGGGACAAATTCGCGTTTGTCGGCTACGTGGACGAGGCCTACGAGGCTCGCAAGGAATCGCGGGGTTCCTCGAGCCAGGTTGCCTCCTTGGGCGAGCTGCCAAACGGCTTTCATTTCGTAAACAGCTCTCTGTCATCTCAGCTCCGTCGGCAATGTCTTCTGTTCCGCTTTCTTTGCATTGTTACGCGCGTATGCACGTTGAATTGATTTCGCACCGCACGCAGCCGAACGTGCCAATCGGAGGTGCGGGGGAAAGAAACCAAACTAGACACAAAAATCAGTTCTAAGGAAATGAGTTTTCAATCGAGATGATTTAAAAGTGCACAGCTCCGAGTGGCTTCTTGATATCGGAAGGAAGAGCGTTCCAGACGGCCGCAGAATCGCATCCGAAAGCGCGCGATGCAAGTGACCACATTCTTTGTTAGGTGGCTAGCCAAAAGCCGTTGCTGTGAGGATGACCTTTAGTTCACGTGATGCTTTATGCTACTCGACGAGACCCAGTAGCATCCACCTCATCAGATATTCTCGGATTGTATACGGTTGGCTAGGTACGGTGTGAAAGAAGTTCTACGTACAATCTCCACCAAAAAAAACCCCATTGTTTTTGCTCTGAAAGGTGTCTGGCCGGCGTGCAAGAGTAGGCCAAATACACCCGAAGGATTTTGCGAGAGGCCCTATGAGTGGATAGACCCTTCCCGCTAGCAGTGAGGGTCAACGAGGCATTTCAGGGCTACACCATGAATCTTTACAAGGCCCATTTAAGTCACAAGAAAGAGAAGGCGACCACAAAAAAACCCCTCCTAAAAATCCTCAAACCCAATTTTGTCACGAAACCCAATTTTAGCCACGAAAATTGAGTTTGGCTCACCTGGCAGAAATCCAGCAGGGTTAACGGGAAATGGACTGCGCCGCCGAGATGTGAATCTAGTTTCGTGGCCGCTTTGATGATCATCTACGTTTTCGGTGGCACCGGCAGTGGAAGTTGTCCAGTTCACGAGACTCACATCGAGCACCAACGTTGTTGGACACCAAGGCCAACATTTCTGCTCGCTCAGCTAAGTACAACTGCAGCCCTCGCCAATTCATCAATGGTCGTCGGTTTATTCAATTTGTTGTGTTTCCCCAGACGATTCGAGCACCGTACAAAGATATTTAATGTTAAGTGAATTTTCATGCATTTCAGATGGGGTTTTTTTTTAGGTCAGGAGTTGCATTTAATGTTAATCTTCTTCTCAGAGACCCTTTCCCCAGATCGCTCTAACACTATTGCCACCGCTGCGCAATATATCACACAGCAATACCGCATTCTCTCGATTATAAGGGCCATCAGAGCAAACATCTTCGGTATGATTTTACATATCCGGTAAATGTGTGTACCTGTGTCTGGCCGACAAACAACGGCAAAATTAGTGGCTAGCGCACTGCGCTACGAACCCGGCGAGCCCGAGTTCGATTCCCGCTCACGGCCAACACCAGTGAACCGGTCCTGGGCCTCCTCTAGGTCGACTCGGCCTCAAATGAGTACCTGGTACGATGTGTAAAAAAACAATAAAAAAACATTGCCACCAAGGAGACAAAGGCGGCCGGGCATGGCGCTGAACGCTCATAGGTGCTCGCAAACAGCACTTGCCCCAACAGTCTTCCAAAAGGCTATACGGGGGGAGTCTTTGTCTGACCGAGCACATATTCGGGGTGCGTCTGACTGTGTGGAACGCCTTATAATCAGGAGAATGCGGTCATACGCTCCAAGTGTGATGTCGACATTTGCGTTATGCACGGTCGTGACTCAGCGGCGGTGCTAATTTAGTCAGACTGTGCTGTTTAAAAAAAAATTCTAGTCACGGCAACCTGACGTGGGATTTTAGTTGAGCCTTCAGTCGCTGGATTTCCATAACAGGTTTTTGGGTGAGATCGCGTAAATATATAAATGTGTCGTTAAACCCGCCACCACCCGACACAGCCAACTAGTAAGGGTTGTCGCGTAAGCGGAACGTGGCCAATTCGTCACCAGTACAGCACTAGTGTGTAGTGTATAGTGGAGTGTAGTGTAGTGTATAGTGTAGTGTATAGTAGTGTAGTGTATAGTGTAGTGTGTAGTAGTGTAGTGTATAGTGTAGAATATAGTGTAGTGTATAGTGTAGTGTGTAGTAGTGTAGTGTATAGTGTAGTGTATAGTAGTGTAGTGTATAGTGTAGTATATAGTGTAGTGTATAGTAGTGTATAGTGTAGTGTATAGTGTAGTGTGTAGTGTAGTGTATAGTGTAGTGTGTAGTAGTGTAGTGTATAGTGTAGTGTATAGTAGTGTATAGTGTAGTGTATAGTAGTGTATAGTGTAGTGTATAGTAGTGTATAGTGTAGTCTACTAGTACAGCACACCGGTGTGTTGGAGAGCCAAGCCGCAACATTTACAATATGAGTACGACGTTTCGCCAGTAATTACAACTAGCTTCATCAGGCGACAGCCAGATTTGTGGAGAAGTCCACCTGTTTCATTCCTTATATAGAGGCGTTGATGTGTTGACCACGCAGATACGCTCTTGCACAATGTGGGGGGAGGGGATATTAACGAGATCTCACACAAGAACCTCTATTATGGATGATATTGGTCGCGAAAGCCTCCGTGTTAAACTCGCTGGATTTCGTTTAGTCATGTACCTTGGCATCGTTGACTAAAACAGTCAAATAGGTGGGCCCACTGTTAGTTCTGTAATGTTGTTGTGAGGGGCGTGGAATAGTGAACCCGGTAAAAGTTACTACTATAATCAGCCAAGAATGTCGGTGTGTGTGTAATGCGCGTGACGTCACTCCTAATGCCGCACCTCCCCCTACCCCCGTCATTAATATTCATGAGCGGGTGGATTTTTACGCTCACGCAGAAGATCGAGCGTAAATATATTTTTTCGCAAGTTCGCTTTAAGTTTGATGTTTCTTTATTAAAAGTGAATCTAATAAATAATTCTACGCAGCAACAAAGTGTATTTGGTGTCTTTATTGATTTCTTCAGCACTTGAGACAAAAGGCAAGTCTAATTTTTAGTTCTATATCATGGTAAAATAGACATTTCTCGGTGATTTTCCAGATATTGGTATCGACCGAAAGCAGAAGAGAATAAAGTATCAGAGCAGTGAATTTGAACAAATTGAGGCTCAGTTATATACAGTGCTACAGTGACATGAAGTGAGGTGTTTTATAGCGTAGTTTTGTGCCAGGTTCAATGCTATTAATACAGTACTACAGCGACATGCGGTGAAGTGTTTGATGACATACTTTCGTGCAAGATTCCCTGCCACTAAACTTACACAAGATACAATTATACTCTGGACAATTTTTTTCGAAAATATTACAACTTCCGTCCTAGGACGGACAAACAAGCTAGTATATATTTTTATTTTTAAATACACGGTTACGCATCTCGCCGTGCCTTCTAAAAATGTGACCACATTGCCTTGGTCTGCATACTTCATTCTCGACGAGTTCGTTTCGTCTCGTCGCAGTCGGACGTACTTGAGTCTCACGTGGGTTTCCCCAGTGAACATTGACGCCGTTTGGAACGACGTTGGTCCAGTTGGATGGAGCAGCGCATGGAGGTTGGAGCAGCGTCGGGTGTGTGTTGCCTTGCCAGTGGCAGGCCTCCTCGTGATTTGGTGATTTTCATTCCGCCATAGTCCTCGTCCGCGGATTCACAAACGGACAATCGCCACTACTACCCTCACCACGACACTCACCATTACATAGCTGTCAACCCCTTATCAGTGCCCTACCTTATTACAGACCAATTCAGACCGTATTGGTCACCCCGTGACCCTTATAAACCTCAACGTTTATCCTACAAAGTCCCATCGCAAGGGAGAAACACAAAGAGACAAAAATACATGTTCTTGCTCGTATTGAAACGGCGATACGCCGTATGGAACCTGGAAACTCAATTATGGACCTGAACACACAATTTCCCTACACAAGAATACGGGGTAAACCGTGTATGGGTTGACAGGTATGTATTTTTTTTTTGTCCAGAACGCGGCGTAAGGCATTGCCAGTAGGGTATTCGAGGTACATCAATCCACAATAATCGTATGATACTCACGAGACGGATGTGGGTGGGTGCCAAGACTATCCCTGCTGAAATGAGCCGCTAAAGCCATCATTAAAATAAAATAAATAAAATCACGAACACTGACAATTGATCACATTACACGCCTCCTGCGTGTACTCTGTTCATGATAATTACAGTTATCATTATTATCATTAGTACCCTTAGTTTTAATAGGTTTTTACCCTTTCAACTGGTACAAAAACTGACACCTTTATCCAAGGGATCATGTTTGCAATAACCACAACACAAGCAGTCAAAATGCAAATAAAAAAACAACTCTGATAATACCATTGGAACCTCATTTGCCAGTAAAAAAATATGATAATTGTTTTTTTACCCTTCTATTTGGCAACAAAACTGACACCTTATTTACAAGGAGTCATGTTTGCATAGACCACAATACCTGCAGTCATAATGCAAACAAAAAACATAACTCTGATAATGTATGCACTGTCCTTGAAGTTGATTGGTCCACACCCGAGACAGCTTTTCTTAGAGCCTCGTCTCCATTGGTGTTGGACCAGATGACGCCTATTACTATATTTTGCTACTGGTAAAGGAGGTCTCATAGTGTAATATACCCTTAGTTGCTTGCAGCCTGCTCGCACTCTCCTTCGAGTGTATTTCTCCCGATGTACAGAGGGTGTTGGAATGTTGAGAGTTGTCATTGTGGCACGTGGGGACTTCTCCCCGGAATAACCCACAACCGCCATCGGAGAGAGACGCACGCTTCTTGCGAGCGTGAACCCACAGTTGCGTGCCCCCGTGTCTGTGTGGAACGCGGATCGGTTATAGGGGGGCTACACGGGCGCGCCACGGGCTAGAGAAGAGATGGACTGACGTGGTGCAGGATGGTGTGTAGCCGATTGAACTTGCCGATGAGCGGTACCATCGGTGTCAAGATCGGCCTCTGCGGAGGAGGCTCGTGAAGGGCGCTGCTGGTCCAGTTGGAGGCAGTCCGCCCTCCATCCACAACTGGAGGGTAAGAAGAGGGACGCTCACAAGCAACGATCGGAGCGCGGGGCGGATAAAACGTCGAGTGTTTGGCATCGCGGGGAGCGCAGTCGGTGCGTCTGCCGGTCATCTCAAGCCAGTCAACCCATGACACCTGGGTCTGTTCCACGGCCTTCGGCACTTCGAGTTGCCTCAAAGTGCACCTAGCCTGGTACAAGCTCCGTGGTGAACGGCGGTCTGCTGCTGCTGCTGTTGTTGTGGAAGACGGAGAACGCGTGAAACAGCAGCTTCTCGCGAGTGTGCCTGTCCGTGCGCTCTGTGTGCAGGCTGGTGGGACACATGCCTTGTGACCCCCAATTAAATGACCCATGACATTTTTTTACCCTTTGCATATTCATGTCTGTTTTAAAAACCAATGTTTTAGATAATTAAATTGGGGGGGGGGGCGGGGGGGTGACAAGACATTGGGACCACGCTGTCGAGAATAATCTCTTTGTACGCAATTTTTTTTAAACGTGTAAACGGTTTACATTAAAATTGCCCTGCTTTGATTGTGTTGCGTACTGTAAGGTTTTTATTTTCGCTGTTTGTTGTTGTTTGCCTTTTCGTTTCGCGACAACAACAAAAAACCCGCAACGCAACTTAGATCTGCCATACGCCGAGCCGAGCAAACACACGAACAAAAAACTTGCAACACTTTCATCAATAACACCGTGGGCTTTAAACATAATAATTTAAAGCTCAGCAAGGGTCGAGACTGGCAACTTCTTGGACGTACCGTGGGGGGCTGCGGGGTCACGCGGTGGACATCGATGATTGTCACACAACACTTGCGCCTTACTACGCGGCCGTGTCTACTGTGTCGGTGCCACACACCGCGCTTGTCAAGCGTGGTGAAGCATCGTGGAAAATAACGCCCCAACCACCACCACCACACCCGCACGGCATAGCATGGGCGATCATCCAGCAGTGGATCGACTAACGGTGCTGTCCGTAGCTGTCACGTGTGCAAAGCGGCGATGCAGTGTTGAAAGTAGAAACTCTGCCGCAGTCAATGGAGGAGTTCATTAGGAACACTTCAAATCGAGATTTTCCCAAGTCATCTTCTCTTGCCGGTTGGGTTGCTGCCTATTGGAGCCCGAGAGAGAGAGAGAACATTTGTCACAATTTGACCGTCAACGAACAATGCTGCACGTGCCCCCTTGTGGGCAGAGTTTGAAGTTCGCTCGCGTGGCATTGGCGTCTGGGTGTGCGTGTTGGTCAGCGCGCTGCGCTACGAACCCGGCGACACCGAGTTCGATTCACGCTCACGGCGAACACCGGTGACGATTAAATTGAACCGGTCCTGGGCCTCCCCTAGGTCGACTCGGCCTCAAATGAGTACCTGGCGCGGTGTGTAGACATCGCCACCGGGGAGACAAAGGCGGTCGGGCGTGGTGCTGGCCACCCCACCCTCTCGTTTTGCCGTGGCGGCCTTTAATAGGCGATCGCTAACAGCACTTGCCCCAACAGTCTGTTAAGGCTACACGGGGGATCTTTTTCCGTGTTGGTTACCAAAAGCAGGGGGAAGATTATGATGATAAGATGATTATGATTCGTTATTGCAGGGGGCATGTTGGACACGTCCCGATACTCGGCACGGCTGTGCGTGTTTCGCAGTTACAGCGATCAGCAAGAAGAGAAACGCGTGGGTCAGAGCAGCGTTATTCACTCGTTTTCAGAGCGGGGACACTTTTTCGCCGATAAGACATCATCGGTGTGAGGGCGGCCACACGTTTGAAACCATTGGGGGTGTTTGACCGCATCACGATGATGATGGGGGGTGTTGTCACTATTTGCGAATTAAATCTTGACTTAAAGCTTTTGTAACTGCCGGAATTCAACTTCTTCATATTCAACACAAGCGGTGTTGCGATCGAAAAGTCGAAGTTTTTTTGTTTGTTATTTTCTTTGAACCTAACTACGTGACTTTAACGAAAGACCCAAAGAATACTCTTTGGTTCTTTCGGTAAAGTCACGTAGGTATATAATAAAATAAATTACGACGTTTCGGGCGTAACACAAGCGTCCATCATCAGGTGGGAAAGCATGGTCTGCTGCCTCAGCATACGTGACTTTACCGAAAGAACTAAAGAGTATGGATTCCTGCAGTCACGAACGCTTCAAATCAAGATTGACCCCATAAATATGCTAAATTCCTCTTGATATGCAAATTATTTTGTCAAGGCGCTCTTCGCCCCTCCTTCCCAGCTTAAATAGTCTCTCCAAGCCTGGGGTGTGTCATTCAGACTCTGTCTACTCGACAGACCTGTTCTCCACCTGAGGACGGCTGCTTGCGTTGTGGCCGAAACGTCGTGAGAATTATTGATTATGTTTTATTTTTATTATTCTATTATTTACATTCTACGTGACTTTACCGAAAGAACCAAGAAGATGAATCCTTGCAGTCACGAAAGCTTTAAATCGATTTGTGTATTGTCGGGGGCCGCACGTCAAGGGGCTGCACTAAAGGCGACCAGGGGCCGCCTTTAGTGCAGGAGACCACTGGGTTAGATGGGCACGCGCGTGATAACATATGTCGTGATTGTGACAAGCCAGAAAAGTCAGTGGGCTTGGGCAAGACATGGTTGTGTTGTTGTTGCTGGAAAGGATTCGATGGGTCCAGTCGTCGAGACTGAGGCTAATCAAGGAATGGCAGCCAAGGGGTGACGTCGACCGTGGAAACGGAGAGAGATTTTACATCGATAGCTTGTTTACAGTTCTACAATCGCATCTCGTGGCTGTTACACGGAGGCTTAGGAAGCCCACGCGCGCCCAGCTATATAATACTTTATGCCTCGGTAAAAAAATAACAAAACCCCGTGGTGAATTCTCCAGTGGATTTGTCCAATTATT